TTCCATAAAGTATATATTATAAAAATTCTTCCATACATGTAGGAGATATGCTCCAGACAAAATCTGGATATTTCACCATCTTTAGTGACCTTGACCTTGCATATATTGACCTAAAGTACATGTGTCACAGCCGTAGTCATGATAATGACCATTTGTGTTACAATCCCTCAATAAATGATGATTAATCGTCCTATACACATCTTCATATTTTTATCTAAACTTTGACCTCTATGTGTGACCTTGACCTTGGCTGCAGGGACCTGAATTTTGTGCGCGACACTCCGCCTCACAATGGTGAACATTTGTGCCAAGTTATATTGAAATCCCTCTATGCATGTGGAAGTTTTGCTCCGGACAAGCGTTTTTCAATGAGCTCTAAGTGTGACCTTGACCTTTGACCTAGTTCATGTGCGTGACATGGCTTCTCATAATGGTGAACATTTCTATGAAATTTCATTAAAATCCCTCCATGCGTGTAGGAGATATGCTCCGGACAAAATCTGGATATTTCATCATCTTTAGTGACCTTGACCTTGTATATATTGACCTAAATTATATGTATCACAGCCATAGTCTTGATAATGACCATTTGTGTTACAATCCCTCAATAAATGATGACTAAATGGTCCATATACACATCTTCATATTTTTATCTGAACTTTGACCTCTATGTGTGACCTTGACCGCAAGGACCTGAATCTTGCGCGCGACAATCCACCTCACAATGGTGAACATTTGTGCCAAGTAATATTGAAATCCCTCTATACATGTGGAAGTTTTGCTCCGGACTAGCATTTTTCAATGAGCTCTAAGTGTGACCTTGACCTTTGACCTAGAGACCTGGTTCATGTGCGCGACACTGCTCCTCATAGTGGTGAACATTTCTATATAGTTTCATTAAAATCCCTCCATACATGTAGGAGATATGCTCCGGACAAAATTGGACGCCGCCCGCCCGCCAGGGGCGTTCCCATAGTACGTCCCGTTTTTCAAACGGGCGTATAAAAATGTGACAAAGACCTTAAATTAAATTTTAAGGACTATTTAGTTGTATGAACTTTGTATATAGTGGTTGTTGTATAAAAAGATGAAAGCATATGATAACATTAACCATTTGAATGTGTTACACTAGCACCCAGGAAAGTAATATAGTCTCACATTTCTTTGACTTGTCCGGCTGAAAAAACCTGTTTGACATATTAACAAATACACGCTTACTAAATTCAGACAGGTATCCTGGGGGAAAACTGGCATTTAAATTAATTCCATACCATGACACTTTACAACAATAGATTTAAAAACTATTTATTACTTATAAAGTGCTCTTGTTAATAGAATTTCAAGTGTTCATGTCAATAAGTGTTCCAAGATTAAAATTTTTATGTTGACACAAGTTTTCAAATAAGAATAATAATGTTGTATTTTTAATGCATCAGTCATGCTAACATTATAAACAAGGAATCTACCTTTCTTTGACAATATGATCAAGTTTGTATTTAGGTCTATTCTTCTTTATTCTAGCTGCAGCATTCAAATTTTTTCTGCCATATGCTTTCTTCAGTCTTCTCATAAAATGCTGAAAGAAAATACAAATTATGAAAGATTCTATAATACTGTACAATGTGTGTTACATACATGTGAAAGTCATGCTCTACGAGGGATGATCAAAAATAAACCGGACTGTGACTGTCAATTAAAGAATTTTCAATCAATCACTTAGTGTTATATATCACACTTAATTGGAAACCAATACCTGTAAATTGATGCTTTATCTAATCTGATAACGCAAAAAGCTTGTCCGTAACAGCGAATTTAATAACCATGGTAACGCACACCCGGCGCAGTGCGTAAATTCGCCTTGACATCAGGCGCTTTAAGCTGCGTATATTTTACAATATGGCACATTTAGATTTCAAAATACGCCAAAACGTCATGAACCATATCTTTGACGTTGTCAGTAAAAATGACTTCATTTAAACCATATTTATATTTGCAGTCACAATTCAAACGTCACATGTTAATGAAATACTCCCGTTAAAACTATGTCGTCGGAATGTCTCGAAAATCAATCAATAAGAAAAAATTGTCAAAAGTAAGATGAGAAACTGTTTAAAATGTAGAAAAAGATTATGGCTATCAAGGGAAAAGTTCCAGAAAGCCACAGCATATTTTTTGATTAGCACGAAGAAAAAAGAAAGGGTATAATAGAGAAATAGAAAACAAGTAAGGGAGAGACAGAAAAAAGAAATTTTCAAGGATGTTGGTGACGTCAATCGCCGAGACGTTGAAAAATGACAGTCGATTGACTGCGGACATTGTCAACGATGTTCGACAGTAGCTACGGGACGGTGCAGTCAACTCTAAGGATTTTAAAATGATAATGGTTAATGCATTTATTACATATATTGTATTCTTGGTTTACACTTGTATCAATTATTTTCTTATTTTACGCAGTAGTTTTATGGAGAAATTGTGTCAACAATTAGACAGTCACTGTTCAAAATCGGCTATGCGTTTTATTTATTTTAAAATAATGACAATTTTGTTCATAGTTGTATTATTCTTTTATATTCAGCAACATAATTTTACATTATTTGTAACACGTAATATAGTTTATTGTATGTGCGATTTTTCAAATATTCAAGTAACAGAAGGAAAGAACGGAAGTTTGCGTCGTTACAGGAGCTCTTTATCATCATCCATTCTTTTACAATACAATATGATATCCACTTGTACTGAAATATATATAGGCAGTGGATCCGCCGCATCAACACGTATTGGCCTACTGCGTGAATGAGTAAAAAGCTGCTCCGTTAAAGAAACTACGCTTGTGACGTCGTTAACGTCCATTTTAAAGTTATACCGTGCGCCGCATTGCTTTACATGGACATGCCAAAAACAGCATAACTTTTTTCTTTGTTTATATTTCTTGTTGGTATTTTTTGTATCATTCAGGGGATGGATTCCGATTTATTTTCCGTGTATTTTTATGTAAATTCATTTAACAGGTAAAGAATCATTTACAAAGTCCGGTTAATTTATGATCATCCCTCGTACATTCCAAAGGTTTTTGAAAAATGAAAAGATAATTAATTTGTGATATAAATCTGAAAGAAAATGCTTAAAATACAGATCTATAAATCTATAGATTTTGGGTAAATTTGCAGATCTATGATATACAAGAATAATGTACTTCCAAGACTCTTGCCCTGTTTTTGAGGGAATATAGCCTGCACAAACAATAGTGAAATTACTAAATGAGGTTCAGTTTTAAATCTTTTAGTTTACAGAAAGCAAATTTCAAAATTTTGAGGAATATTTTTTAAAAACCGGGGGAAAAATGTACATCTATTGGGAAGGGGAATGGTGCCACATTTTGGCACCACAGTTTGTGTATTTAGGGTCAAGACTGCCTTAAACCCTTATTACTTTCACAGTTATGACTTTACCTTAAACTCTCTGAATTTATTGATGAGTGGTTCATGAAGTAAGAACTGTATATCTTTGTTAAAGTAGTATGTTCTGTTTGAGGTACTTCCTTTGCCAGCTTTCTTTCTGTGAAGTGGCTCAACTGGGTAAATCCCCTTCAATATACATAGTCGTCTGAAATTTTTACATACATTCATGAGCATATTCTACAGGAAGACAAAAAATTTCATTATCAAGTTGATAAAACAAAGCAACACCTCGCCCCTACTGTGTGTAACACTAACTGTGAGGGTGTATATACTGCTTAGTTGATATTACTATGTACAACAAATTGACCTTGATTGTTTATTCCATGTGACAAAATGCAGAACAGAAAATTGAGAAATCATCAGCACAAAAGGTGTAGTGTCAGGGAACATTGAAGACCAGATAAAATTTAAACACAGAGTTTCATATTTCTTGAAAAATAGTGACAATTTTCTGGATAAGGCCCAGGTTTTCTTTTTTTAGGGAAAGGGGAAGATGCTGGACCCTAGTAGGGGGATAAGAAAAAAGTCAATTTTGGGGAAAATTATGATGTTAACAGAAAATTCAGTTATCCATACTTTATACTAAACCATATAGTAGTCTACAGGCAAATAGTGCATATACAGAATGAGCTTACTATATACAGAGCATACATTAGTGGAAGTTTGGGAGTCCTTTACTCCTTGATTTTGGCTTGTGAAATGTAATTAATGCTTTTCCTTTATTATGTGACTTCTTTTGTCAAGGATTTTGCCACCATCTAATTCTTGCAAGAAGGTAATTTAAAACGACAAAATAAATCTGAAGTATCTGAGAGATATAAATCATCATCTGTACAGGGAAAGTGTTTCAAGATAAGCAGAATAGACTTTAGCAGATAGTTCAATATATCAGACATTACAGGCTTGTTAAAGTTTACGACTAATAGTTATTGCTCAAACACGTAGGTTCATAAACAAAATAAAACAAGAGCTGTCCGTAAGACAGCGCGCTCGACTTTTTTATTGCTTGCCAATAAAAAAAGTTTTGCAGTAAAAGGCAATACAAGAATCTCTGTATTTTTAAAGTGAACTAGTTGTTTGATACCCTTGAATATTACAGCAATGTTTATATGACATAATTTATGGTAAAGTGAACAAGTGGATAGGAATGAATTTTTTTAGATTTTTTAAGTTTTTTAGTGCTTGCCTATAATACAAAACATTGACAGTTAAGGGCCATAATTCAAATAAAATCTTTGACAGAATTACATTCTCCTGGACATGTTTGGGAATCATGATTGTAAACAAGTATTCCAACTTTCAAATTAATATCTCAAACAGTTCAGTCAAAAAGTGGACTGGTACTAAAAACTTAACCAAGATTCTAAGTCGATAAAAGGCCTTAATTTTTAAAACAAATCCTTGACAGAGTTACCTTCTCTTGCGTACAGATGGGGGTAATGATGTGAAATAGCATTAAAAGTTTCAAAGCAATATCTCAAAGGGTTAAGGCAATAAGTGGATTTTACCCATATTCAATGTATTTTCTAAGTCAAAAAGGGGCATAATTCTGTCAAAAACCTTGACAGAGTTATGTCCTCTTGTCTGTTGATGAAGGTCGTGATGGTAAACAAGTATGGTCAGTTTCAAAGCAATACCTCCAATGGTTTTGAAATAAAGTGAGGTGGTACAAAAAACTTAACCAAGCTCAATACACTTTCTAAGTCAAAAAAGGGCCATAATTCTGTCAAAAACCTTGACAGAGTTTATGTACTCTTGTCTGTAGATGGAGGTTATGATGGTGAACAAGTATGGTAAGTTTCAAAGCCATACTTGTAATACTTCTGAAATAAAGTGGGGTGGTACGAAAAACTTAACCAAGGTGTGACGCCAACGTCGACGCCGACGCCGGGGCGAGTAGGATAGCTCCCCTTTTCATAGAAAAGTCGAGCTAAAAATGTCTAATGTCTAAATTTTCTTTCAACTTCATGCTCAGTCATTAACACAAACTCAATAGGTATCAATTTAAAATAAAATACGAACATCAATGTAGTTTTGCCTATCGGCCATACTGGTTAGGTAAAGCGTTTTAAAGCTTGACAGTGTTCCCATTTACGCACATATGTGCGTATTTTACGCATAAATAACAAAATTCACGTACAGAAATTTAGGCAAGAGGGTACAAATACGCACAGAAAGTCAGAAACTTAATCATGTATAATTCAAAAAGTATTCTTTTGAGCAATTTCTGAAACAAAAAACACTTAAAGTGCATTGAAATTGATGAAATGTGAGAAAATCTCCAAATTCACAATGAAGTTTACAGACCCCCCACTGGGAATTATTGCCGTAAATTACAAATTTGAATTTTTTGTTTTACGATGCCTGTAAGAATAGCCGATGAAAAAACAGTCTTAAAATATAAAAAAAAATATTAATTCTAATATAATTGTAATCAGCAACAACTAGAATTGTGAATGTTTCTGCAGAAAACTGACGAATTTTCATTTGTCACATATTTTCGCGATGCCGATTTTGTTAATTAAAAACATCAACAAAAGGGAAGCTTTGTTTTGTTCAAAGGTGTGTAGTAACAATTTATATGCTGTTTATGAATTATTTAAATAACTTAAATAATGGTTATATTAATTGAGATGGAGATATATGCCAGTAATTATTGTGTTGGTCACAATGAATTTTATCTAAGGGTGGGGGGGGGCGGCTATGAGAAGGGGGGGAGGTGGTGGAGTGCATCTTGAAGAAAATAGCATAATTGTCTGATGTATGATTTTGGAATTATCCTTAAATTTCATATAAATATTGTACAAATTTATGTACCCCCTGAATTTTGATTTTACCCTTAGTTTTCAAAAGTAAGGGGTAAAAATACCCTTAATGAAAAATAGAAGTGGGAACACTGGCTTGATTTAAATTTTTGAATGGAAAAATATATTCGTACACACAGACGTAGTCCTAATTATAAGACCTATACGTAACCTATTTCATATTTATCATTCATTAATCTGATATTTTACATTTTTCATTTTCCATGTTACGTTAGGTCTTAACAGATCTTTGCAAAATCGTGTAGCAAAAAAATTGACATTAGACATCGATTTAGATCTAATGAATTTAAACAATTAAAACAGCGTGTATTTACATTAATTTTGACCTATTTATGAACAAAACTAAAAAATAAATACCTTTAAACAAAATAATTGAACTGTCACAACCGAAAAGTCATGATTAAATCCTCTCATTTATTAAATTCTTTGTACAGCTGATATACAAATGGCCGCCATACAGTGCGCGAAATCTGATTGGCTAATTCAAATGCAAGCGTTTAAATGAGTCCAGAAGTTTCTAACGGAATATTTTTTCAACGAAATAATTGCCCATGCACCGTCAGTGTGTTCAAATATATTTTTCCGTTCAAAAAATTGGAATCAATCTGTAAAACGCTTTACTTAACCAGTATGGCCGATGAGCGAAATAGACTGATATTTATATTTTATTTTTAATTGATAATTACATTGTTTTAAAGTTTTTGTTAATGATAGACCATGCAATTGAAAGAACAGAAGATAAGCTTTTGAATAAAGCTTGAAAGGCAAGTCAACAGACATTTTTTTAATTTTTTCAAAATGCTACGCGTTTTTGAGCAATAACTATTAGACGTAAAGGCTTGACCAACATAAAACTATAACAAGCCTGTAACGTCTAATCTATTGGACTAACACAGACGGTGCATAAGCAAATATTTAATTCAAAATATTTCGTTTGAAACTTTTCACTGATTAAAAATTCTTGCATCTGAGTTAGCCAATCATATTTCGCGCACTGTGTGACAGCCATTTGTTTATCAGCTGAGCCTGTATAAGTAATTTAATTAAATAAGAGGATTAAATCATGATAGTTTAATTATTTTTTAAAAGGTATTTATTTTATGATATTGTTCAAGAATAGGTCAAAATTAATGTATTTTTAAGCTAATTCAAGCGTTTTTTCATTTCACCCAATTTACTTCGGGAACATATACTATGGGTTTTTGAGCAATTTCAATATGACGTTGCTTTGCATAGAAGCAAAAATATTTCAAAGCAAAGTCATATTTAAAGCACCAATGTGGAAATTTCTAGAAATATTTAGCAGTAACCAATTTACCTAAAGTCTTTCAGCGATATTTGAAGTCGTTTGACAGCTTTAGTTCTGGTGATGAAGGCAGTTGCAGCACCACTTTGATGCTGAAATAAAAATAATTTCTGCCTAAAATTTTCAAGTAATGAAATAATGAAAAAAATCAGCGACGAACTAAATAAAATGTAAATATGAATGTATAGTTATTTAAGACAAATATAGATCACCTTTTTCTTTGGTCGTCCCATATTTTAGTTAAATTACAAAATACTAAAATTTACACGTGCTGTTTCCAAAGTTGTGAAAATTCTTCTTTGAAAAGAGTATTTTGTACTAAGGGAGACAACTGTTATTTACTCAAAGAAATGAAATTAACGTAAAGTATTTACCAATTGCGGGTGGCAAGTACTACCTGGTCGGAAACATATTGCATTTGTGCATAGGCTAATGATAATTATAAAACACTCTATGAAAATGACAGTGAAAAATTAATTGTTGTCAAGACACCAAAAACCAAAGAGTTAAAAAATATTTTGAGCTATAAATGTAAGCGCGTAAGCGCAACTGCATATATATGAAATCCTCATACTTTAAATTCATTAATTCATAGTAAAATGTTAAATTGCAATGCATGTGGTCTTTTTTCTCGTTGTCGCTATTGCCACAAAATCGACCGGTCTGGCATTCTGAATGAAGTATAAAAGGAATGGAACCCGTTAGCACGATTGTGGACTTAATAAAAGTGCGTCGTCGTCCTTCGAATTCAGTATATATTGTTCTAATCATCACAATGGGGACAATGCTCGGTGTCTTAAGACATTCTAATAGTAGCAACGCATCGCCGTTGCGAGTATTTAATACAATTTTGCCTTTTTGTACTAAACAATCTTTTAATTGTTATTGAAATGCCACAGTACGTTACTTATAATGTTTTAACATGCAGAACAGGGTAATAAATCTTTTACATTCCTTTCTTTTATATTTGAGAACGTAAAGAAGAAGAAAACAACATTTAACGTTTATTCCTAAATGACTCCGGTTTTTACTCGATAATTACGGCTCATCAGAGTTTTATCTTATTTTATCTTATTTTACTTGGCATCAACAACATATTACATGGTGATCAACCAGAGGAAGTAAAGCAACAGTTCCTTGAATTGACAGATCTTTTGAAACAAAACAACGCACAAGCTAAAATAGTACGTGGTCTTCTCAATATAACCAATGAAAACAGATATGTCATACGTAGAAAAGGTAAGAAATACAAATGAACTATTGAGGAAACTCTGTAATGAAAGATATATGACCTTTATTGATCACACAAATTCCTTATTGAAATATCAGCAGACAGACCAATCACTTTAAATACTCTAACTTCATCTAGCTGCAGTTTTTGCTAAACAAATCAAGGCCACAATAAGACAAGTACTCGTCATCAACCCAAGGAAAACACCAGGAAATTTTCGTCAGGCCAGTCGTCCATACAGATCACCGCAGTACCAACCACACATGAGACAAACCAGGCATTAGGGTTTTCCACACTTCAATCATCCAACTGCGACGTGGAGCTTACCCCCCATGGATGTACACTTATCCACCACTTCAAAGATAGGAAACAGTCACTGTGACTTCCTACTTGAACAGCAGACAAATCTGACAACAATCCATCCTGAAAGTGAAAAAATCTTCCAATGCCAATTTTAATGTAGATAGTGTAAATATTGAAAACCATTACCAAAATAGTGAAAATGCAAAAGATAATAATGCTACAGAGCAAACCATACACTTAAGCTCTAAAGACACAAACTTTCTATCAAAGCAAGGAATGAAGTTTCCATCTTAACATTCATTATCTCTATCCAAAACTTGATGAATTAAAAATCTTGTTACATATTCATTCTTATTTGGATATTATTGGGCTTTGTGAGACATTTTTGAACACAGTGAATTTGAGCTTAAAGGTAACCAAATGTTTCGCAAGGACAGGAAAACAAATGGCGGTGGACTTATTTTATATGTAAATGAAAATTTTTCAGGTGTTCCTCGGAATGATCTACAAAATGAGGACATTGAATCTATCTGGCTTGAAATATAAAACAATCAACAAAAAACATTTATTTTTGGCTATATTGATAGGCCACCATCATCACCTGCAAACTGGAATGCATATTGAGAACAAATTTTAGATAAAATATATATTGAAAACAAAGAAATCATATTGACCGGAGATTTTAACTTTTAAATATTATGATTTATTAACTATGTCTACTAATAACACTTCTTGGAATAACATCACTAACAGTTTCAATTTGAGGCAGCTAGTTGAAAAACTCCACCAGAGTAACTCAAACATCAAATGCAATTATAGATCATCTATATACTAATTTCCCTAACAATATCTCTGAAATCAATGTACCTCATTTATCAAATCAGTGTTCATTTTCCAATCTGCTTCACACGCAAAATCTCCTCAAATGCTACCAAAGACCCTTTACATCAAATTATTTAATACCGAAATATGAAACAATTTGATGAAAAATATTTTCTTGAATCTCTTGAACAGCAGCCTTGGTCAGTGTTAGAAATATATGATGACCTAGATGATGCTTTGGATTATTTCAACTCTTTATTCAATCAAGTATTAAATGCACATGCTCCTCTTGAAAAGAAGCGTGTAAAACATACACATCTTCTAGACTGCTACAATCCTGATATTCTTCATGCTTCTAAACAAAGGGATAAAGTTAAGAAATTAAATAACAATGAAGAATATAAAATATTGGAAAAATTAAGTTAAAAATCTGATTTCAAATTCCGAAAAAAATATTTACTATTCAGAAACTATAAATAACAATAAACACAATGCAAAAGAAATGTGGAAAAATCTCAAACAAATATCAGGAAAATCTACAAATCACCAAACAAAGTATATTCAAGATGAAGAAGGAAATCAAATAACAGACCCACTAAAACAGCCGAAGTATTCAATGACTATTTCATTGATATCTTTAAATCGGCACCTGGATATTGCTCACATGAAGATGAAATAAAAATTGCATGAGTTTATTGAAATGTATTCAAAGGATAAATGCCCTTTCAAGATACCTGTAAATGAACAAGTCAATTCATAAACAAAGTACTATAAGATCTTGATATCAGAAATTCAACTGGTCTAGATGGTATAGGAGCCAAATATCTTAAAATGAGTTCTAAAATTATATCCAAACCTTTGGAAAAAATATTCAATCTCAGTCTATCAAGTGGCTTATTTCCTTCTGCCTTTAAGCAAGCAAAAGTTACTCCTATACATAAAAAGGGCAACAAAAATGAAAAAAGTAATTACATGCCTACATCAATACTACCAGTTCTATCGAAAGTTCTAGAAAGATATGTTAGCAATCATCTTAAGTTATTTCTTGAAACTAACGCCCTTTTTCAGCAAAATCAGTCTGGCTTTCGCACAAATTATTCATGCGATACTGCTCTTACTTCAATTATTGACAGTTGGATCAGTGCAATAAATGAAGAAAAACTTATAGGGACTATATTTCTGGGCCTAACAAAAGCATTTATTTTGAACAATCATAACCTATTATTGAAAAAACTACAAATGTATAACATAAATGAAAATTCAATTTCATGGTTTAGATCAAACCTAAGTGATCGCTCACAACAAGTATGTGTGTCTGGAAAATATTCTGAAGCTCAGGATATAAAATCTGGTGTGCCTCAAGGTTCTGTTTTAGGCCCTCTCCTTTTCATTATTTACATTAATGACTTACCTTTGCATTTATCACATTCTACATCAGACATGTGTAGTGGGGGGTTCTTAGTAAAACAACAGTATGTAGTGTTTACTAGATTTATTCAGGTTGTAGAAGAAACCTATAACAAAATAAAAAGACTATAATACAAATAACAAAGAGAAATATTATACAATAGAAAATTCATGAATTACATATTTCATAATTACAATAATTACAATATATACATTATAAACATTTCACAATTACAATTAAAATAAATACATACATACCAGGCTTTAAATAGATGAGATCTTCAAAATAATAATTGTATGAATAATGATAAACTATCAATATTTCTATAAAGAAATAATATATCTTTAGAATGTCAGAGATGTTATTGCCTTGAATGCAATGAAAGGAGTGGTCAGTTACCAAGAAATATTAGCTATCCCAGAACCAAATCATCTAAAAATAACTTGCATACCAAAACCAATCATCCATCACTAAACTTGCAAAACCAGTTCAATCACTCATAACAAAAGGTACAAAGACAAACATGAACACATAACACCACAATAGATTTGGTTTGGCCTTTAAGGGAAATAACTACCGTATTTATTATAAAAAGTGAACTTGGCTTAATTTAACCTTATCTACACACTCCCCCCTCTAGTTAAAAATGACACCGGCATTTTCTTAAACAATTATTAATGAAACCTGGATTTATGAAAAAAATAACATTATGATCAATTCGAAAGACAAAATGCAATTTACTGTATATTCATATGACGACATAAATATATCATATTATTTAAGATATACTGCCCTCCTATAACTATTTTGCAATAGTTAAACAGTAAAATATAAAGAAATAATGCAATACAGTAGAGTTGTCAATTCTACTTGAAAATAATAAATATATAGTATATACCTCCATACATAGGACCCATGTGAAATTTTAAAGGACTGCAGAAAAAAAATGAAACAACATTATACAATAATTATACCCATTCTCCATACCTATCTGGTGGATGTATCACACGTCTAGGGCGTGGGATAGGGCGTGAAGATAAAACGGGCGTATGTACTGGAATGACTGGAATAGTCACTGGAGTACTTGGTCTACTCACTGGAGTAACTGGTACACTTACTGGAGTAACTGGAACACTTACTGGAGTAACTGGAACACTTACTGGAGTAACTGGGATAGTTACTGGAGTAACTGGAACACTTACTGGAGTAACTGGAACACTTACTGGAGCAACTGGAACACTTACTGGAGTAACTGGGACATTGTCTGGGGAATATGTCACAGGATTGGGGTGAATCCTGGGAACAAATGAAGGGATAGAAATAGAAGGAGCATCAGAAGAATGTCCATAATCAACACGAGTATTGCGACTGCGAGTAACTGGAAATCTCCTCTGTGGTATGATGTATACACCAGATGATGATTCAGAAGAGCTAGAATCAGCATCATACTCTTTCTGTATAGGAACACGTCTAGGTTTTGGTTTAGGCTTAGTTTCAACAGGTAAATCTGTATCTTCTTCAGGGATAGAAATAAATGGAAGAAGCATATTTCTGTGAAGGGTTCTGACAGGACC